CTCCTCATTGAAATAAGATTTATTTGCGCAGGCTTTAATATACTTTCTTTAACACTTAAAAAGTGAAGATTGGCCAAATCACTAAGTTATAAACTCAAACAAAATGTTGGATTTAAGAACCTCGACAAAGCTGGAATGAAAGAAAAAGGCAAAAACAAGGTTTACAGTAAAGGTTTACAAGATTTTTTTGTAAAGTTTTTGCATGCCTTTATTCATTCTTTAAGAAAACAAGCTTGACATACTAATATTCCTACAAAGTTAAAAAAAGAAGATTTTGTCAGCTTTTCTATGCCAACCATGAAAATACAATCGTCTGCTGTAAGGTTGCCTTCTATCTGGGAGTAATCTAATAGTTATATTAATCTTTTTAGATTTTAATAACCAGAAATGGTAGTTAAAAGTTGAGGTTAGTCACTATTTGCTTACAATTGGACCTACAACATTTAAGTTTTCCAGCGGCTTATGTTGCTTACAAACTTCTAGTATCTCATAAAAAAAGCGAAAAGTGAGATGTAGTTTAAAACTACTTTATATCACTATGGATATTTTTAAGATTAATATAATAAGTAAGATTAATAAGTAAGATTGATATAATAAATAAGATTAATAAGTAAGATGAATATATATTTTGGTATATATCTGGCACTAATCAATTGTTGGCATAAAAGGCTAAATATGCACGTAAGTTATGTAAAAGAGGAATAAGTAGGTAAAATTATCATTTCTATATCACATTGATTTTATTTTTATTTTTTACACTATTACGTTATTCAATGATATAATCTCGTACATTATAGAGTCTGCGATTATTGTTCAACCGAGAGAATATTATCAACAGAAAAAATTTAAATATAAATTAATTTTGAAAGGTTGACAGTTGAAAAAATTATATTATCTATTTGTGCGTTTACTTGCATTTTTAATTAAAAAAACAAATAGAAATTCTAGCTTGAAAATTTGCATAGAGCATAGAAAATGGTACAACGCACATATATATAATCTAAACAGATGACGGTCAGATATTGTTGCAGGAAATAAGCGCAGTTTGAAATGTGTAATGTAAAAGTAATGAAATTCAAAAACCTGAAAGCATTAACAAAACCCGAACAAAAAAAAAACATTAAAACATCACCAATCATTACAATTACAAATTATGTTTGCCAATAAAGCTAAAACAAAAACATAAAAGAGAACATACAGTCTAAGCTTTGAAATCCAAAACATAATTACTTCCGAAAACAATAATTCATATCCCTAAAATAAACCTTGTCCGAAGCTTTAATTCCCGCTGTCAATAAAATACAAAACGGTAGTAAATAAGATTTATCTATCTATATATATATATATATCAATGTGTGTGTGTAAGCCCAAACAACTTCAAATAAGAAAAACCTCTTTCAGAAAAATCCGCTTTTCCCAGTTGCTAAGAAAGCGAACTTGACCCTCCTCTCTGGAAAGAGAGCCGCCGCGTAAATCGTTCCGGATGCTACTTCCAGTAAGAGACTTAATCCAACGGCTCTAAGAGTAATAGCGACCGAGAGATTTAATCCAAGAGACGAGCATAGGCCAATATTGACCGAGCCTCTGGTCAAATAGTGTTTAAGCTGGACGCTAGCTGATGTTGCCTGCAAGCTCCCTAGTCGATGAAATCTAACCTTAAAGAATATTTTTCTCCTCTTTTAAGCTTCGCCATAGCTTGTTTGGAGATGTTTGGAAAGAAATAGCGAATGCTCATTTTTTTTTATTTTGCTCTTGGGCTTCTTTTTTTCATTTTTCTTCTTCAGTTTTTTAAACTCAACTTTGATTTCTTCTTTCTCGATGTTTTTTTTTTTTGCTTTTGTTTAAAAGGATTTTTGTAGTTTGTTTTGTTTGTATTTGGAACGGTTGGATCTATTTCTGTTAGTTGTCATTAATTTATATTGTTTTAATAAATGGGTGATTTCTTTTAATTGTTTTTTATTTTTAATTTTGATAAATATCTTGTTTATCAGTTATTTTGATAAAAAAATTCAAATTAATATCTTAGTATGCAAGGTTTAATTAGAAAATTTTTGATAAAATAAAACATTCCTATAATTATCTATCTATCTATCACTGTTAATACTTTTAGAGCGAGTTGAACCAACCATTTTTTTTTGTATAAGTTTGCTATCGTACAATAAACTATATATAGATCATAGTTAATAACTTTAAAGCGTGTGGAACTATAGTATTGTAAATATTTGCTACTTTGCAATAGATTATCTATCTATTTATCTTTTTTAATAATTTTAAATCATGTTGAACCATATTGTAAAAACTTGTTATCTTTCAATAGATTATAATTCTATAGCAGAATAGTAATTTTCTATAGCAGAATAGTAATCTTAAAGTGTATGAATCCTACCACAATAAAAATTTGAAATTTTGCAATACAATATCGATTTATCTTTCATTGTTAGTATCTTTGCTAGTAACCACAGTATTGTAAACATTTGCTACCTTGCAATAAACTACCTATCTATTTATCCTTTTCATTAATTTTAGAGTGTGTCGAATTATATTATTGTAAGAAGTTGCTATCTTTCAATAGACTATCGATCTATAAACTATTACTACATTTAGAACTCGTTGAATCCAATCCCAGTAAAAATTTGCTACCTTGCAATACAATATCTATCCATCTTTGTTGATAGTAAATTTAGTTGGTTTTAAACCAGATTGAATGTTATATGTTTTAAGTTGAACCATGTTATCGTTCCTCTTAAGTTTCACAACACAATACTATTGTTCAACTTGAAAAGAAATAGGGTTTAATTTAACACTTATTTAAGTTTGTTGCAAACGTGCGCCAGGCGCCTGTGATTAAATGTTAAACTGGCTATTTTAATCAATTAAGTTTAGATTGACGAGTGTTTTAAATTAAAATTCTTTTTTCTTGTAAATAAATTATTATTTTTTAGCTCTTTAAACGTATTTTTCAATATGATTTTTAGGATGAAAAATAAAAAATGATGATGAACTAATATAGTCTATAAAAATGCAATTTACAATTAAATCACTTTTATTCGGTAAATTTTTATAATCATTTACTGTTAATAAAAAGCAACATTTATAGTAGCTATACAACACATAAAATTAAGCATTTAATGAAAGTTGTTAAGCAAAGTCCGCGTAAACAATAGGCTATTACTGTAATAATAATTTGTAAAATAAACATTTAATGTAAGCTGTCATAGTAAATAAAAATTCCGAATTTATATTAAGCTATTACTGCAGATAAAAATCAATATTTACGTTACATTACAGTAAATGAAATGTAAGCTTTTGGGGAGGATGAAAATTAACCTTTGATGTAAGCTGTTACCGAAAATGAAGATTAGCGGGCATAGTACATTGTAACTGTGAATGAGATACATTAAATGGGAATTACCCGTTATCTATTGAAAGGTAGATAAAATAAATAAATAAAAAAGTGCATATGGAAGTTAAAAAGTCACTAAAATTTATTTAACCTATTTAAAAGAATACTATAAAAGGGTTCAACTTTTTTACGTTTTCAAAATAAGATTTTCTTGATATCCTAACTAATAATAGAATAAACAATAGAATAGATTGTTCTCAAATTAAGAAGATTTATCACCGCCTCTGTTGCTTGATTCAAATATTTGTTAATACTCCAACAAATCACTTTAAAAATTTGAAAAGGTTGTAGTCTGTGACTAAGTTGTACCGGTTTACCGTTAACAAAAATAAAGTACCGGTAAAATAGTTGTGCCGGTTCACTGTAAAACAAAACAAAGAAGTTACATAGCACCACTGAAGAAACCGTGCTGTATTTGAAGTTGAACAACCCAAAAAATTCTGTGAAAGAACATTTTTTTTTCAAGATCAACTGAATCGAGTTTTCATATACAATATAAAGGGCATAATTAATTATAAAAATTTATCTTGGGAAAATTTTACATCCCACTCCCACGCATTCACACCATACGTTAAATATTTTCGCTTCCATGAACACCAATATTGGCGCCATTAGAATATCGTCTGTAGTTGTTTACAATCGAATACAAGTTGGCGAGAATTTGTTGTCGTCTTCAATGCTAATACACATTTTTAGAAACAAAAGTTCACCGTTAAAATGTGCATATATGTTTTTAGTTGTGTAATAAGGATATTTATATTATATATAAGGATTTCCCAAGTCTCTGTAAACTGTATTAAACGATTTTATAATCTATAATTTCTATCTGCTTCGATACTGTTAAGCTTAATGCGAATTCATTTTAATATTTTCTCTGTTCTACTCGTATTAACAAACTAGTTTTGTTTCAATAAATAGAGTATATGCTACTGTGAATGAATGAAATTGGTGGTCGTTGTCTTCCACCAGTGAATGCTGACAATCACATACTTGTTTTGGTAAATGTCTGAATAATATACAGGTCTAGTTAAGTGCCACTATCCGGTATATATTTGCCCGGAATGCCCAACATAAATGTTTTTTTTTTAAGATCAAGTGACACTGCCCAGTATGCATTTAACCGGTACTCTGAACACTGATGTTCCGGTACTCTGCACACTCGAACAGATATAATAATATCAATGAATGAATTAATATCAGATCGGATATAACAAATATTTAAGACATTCACTAAAGCGACTATGTGATTGTCGACATTCATCGACGAAAGTCGACATTCGCTTGATTTCGGCTATTTACTGTATCATATGTATGCATCCTAAATAAATGATTCTTAATTAATATTATCTCGAAGAAACAACTTTACTAATTCCTATGTGTATATTATCTTATTGTAATAATAAATATTTGTATTTTTAAATGCCAAAAATGATGACAGCTTTGTTTGTACAAAGCATTCTTGGTATCTCACGATGTCAGGAACTGTTCTCGGCGTTGCACCACTTTGGCTTAAAATAGTTGCTACCATTTTTAGTGTTAATAAACAGTAAAATTTCTAGCAGTTTGAGTGATAAACAGTTGTTATTTAATTGCTTACCTCTTGTGATAGGAACGGTATGATTTGAGCTATTATGGCATTCAGCCGTTTGGCTATTTCAGTCTGAAAAGAGAAGAAAAAAAATTATTGTAGATAAAATATCAACATAGTTAATAATGTTTAAAAATATGCATTTAATTTGAATTTAATAACAATAATCGTACATTTGTAACATAAATTTTACTGAGTTAACTGTAAGATTTTACTGTAGTCAATACCAATATTTAAATAACAATCTGTTTCAATAATTGTCAGTATTTTAAAATGTTCAATAGTTTTCCTCAATGTTGAATGACTTTTTGTAAAAATTTAAAGTAAAGAAAATAAATTGCTCACATTGCTAAAATATAAAATACCAATCGAGCCGCGGTGGCTCAGGGGATGGAGTGTTTGACTCCCAATGAAGTGATCGAGGTTCGAATCCCAGTGGTGGCTGGTCGGTACGAACTCGATTCCCGTTTCGCACTGACCACAGTGCTGATCTAAAATATTCTCAGTGGTAGACGAATCATGGGTTAGAATCCCCTTGCCATCGGAATGTGAGAGATTATCGGGGTTTTCATCTCCATGTAATGCAAATGATGGTTAGTTACATCATACAGTCCTCCACAAAGGCTAGTTAGTCCCAATTCATGTACCAGGAGTTCCCTTGTCTTCTCAGTAGGGTTCAGAATTACAAGGCCATAGATTTAAACATTGATAGTCGTTAACTCAGAATTGGGTCGGCTGTTTACCACAGTTTAGAGAAAAAAAATAATAGCTCCGATCACGGTCAAATAATATATATTCTACGTAATCAAAATTGCAATATTTAAATTTTAAGAAAACTAGAAATGACAGAAAAAAATGAGACCATTTAAATAGACGAAATCGATGAAAAGAGAACTCTTAAAAATAATTTAAATGTTACTTTTTCACTAAGTCATTTAAATTATCAATTTAAAAACATTGTTAACGAAGAAAAATATGTAAAATATAATTCAATGAACAAATGCACGGAAAAAAAACCCTTCCTTAAATATTTTCAAAAACGGACACACAATTCAAAACGAAGAGAAAAATATGATATAAAAACTGAGTAAACAGAATAAACGATTTTGATTTTTTTTAAACAAGCCAGGGAGAAATGTTAGAACCGATTACTCTCTTGTGATAATTTGTTTGGTCCGTTTCGGGTTTTGGTTCAGTGGTTGCCATATTGAACCGAAGAGATGACGTGTGAACGGAGTTAAAGGCTCATTAAGCGGGTTGTACAGCTATTAAGCTTCTCTCTGCATCCCGTTTCCATGACAACAGAGCAATGCTACTGGGATGTGAGAGATGAAAGAATTCGTCTGAATTGAACAACCGACAATAGTTCATGATTCTCTTCATGAAGTAATTTAGAGAATCAACTCAATTGACTTGAAATTGATATTTTAAATTCTTTATTTTTTATTTTAAAAATAGACTTACTTTTCTGAAATAATACATTTATTTAAATAATATTTTTCTTGGATTCAATTTATATTTTGCTTTTCCTTCTTTTTAGAATTTTTTGAGAGGTAGTATAAAATAGTTTAGCAATGGTATTTTATGCAAAATAGTTCATGAAGTTGATAGCTAATAAATGGATTATTTGACTTAGAAAAATAACTCAGATTGATTGAAGTGGTGTTTTTTTATTTTGAATTACTAGTTTTGAAGTCTAGTTTTGAATTACATTTACTTCATTTGTTATTATTAAATATTTTTTGTCTATTTTTTAATATTTCTTTTCTCAAAAATGTTTTAAGAAAATTTTTTATGAAACATGTTAGTTTTTAAGTAAGAAAAAATTATTAGTAAGCCTTTTATTTCATAATATTTAATTTAAAATATACTAATATAAAATTTACAGCTAATAAGTGTATGAATTATTCGAAAAAAATAACTTCTTCATTTTAAATAAGATAGCGATCTCTTTTTTGAGAAAATAGGACTTACTTGCTTAAACATTATCTTGATCTTACTTTATTTATTATAAATATTTCTTTCATTTATTGTTTTACCATTTTTTTAAACAAAAATGCTTTAAATATTAATCGTAATGTCATAATACAATTATAACATTATAATAGTATTGGTAAAGCATCATATGCTAAATAAAAAGTGCTATTAGGGAGTTAATAACTTAGAGCTAAATTAAGCTAAATTAAGTTAAATATTTCTTGACTTCTTCTTAAGACTTTGACTTTATATCCGAATTTTTTCATAACATCATTCGATTCTGTTACATTGAGAATGCAATGATAATTGTGGTTGATGCAGTACAGCAACTGCTGGCTCAAAAACATTATCTATATTTTCAATAAAAAAAAATATATTTAAGCCATTATAACGAGTCTCTTTTCAAAAATGGTGTTAAAACTTTAACTTAAGAATTCTGCAAATAGAAGTTATTTATAATGAAATGAAAATTAAAAATTAACAAACTTTTTCTAATACTTTAAAATAATATTTTCTATCGAGTACTAAGAAAATATTGAATGATATTTGAGGGAACTGATTTTAAAATTTTATACTTTTATGATAGGTGTTTTCTTGCATTTTCAATTCTAATAGATATTCTAAACCATTCGAATACTCCAAATAAAAAAAAAATCACTGAACTACACTACACACGGGGGAAATCTTCCTTTTTTCCGCTCTAGAAAATCTTTCTTAATAGCGATCAAAATTTTTGGAAGAATGACACATCGGGGATGTGTTTCCCCCTTTTCTTTTTTAGGGGGGAGGACTAGCTTCGAATCTTGTTTCGTTCAAATATCTCAAATCTCTTTCGATTCTTCATCCCCCCTCCAAAATTTCTGATAAAAATCCATGATGATGTTAAGGGTGGGTGAAAAAAAAAGATTCGAAAATGTGGAGTACAACCAAAAGAAAAAGATCATTTCAGGAGTAAAAGTTCGACCGCACTTCTTATTTGTGCCTGAAGCCTTCTTTCGAACGGAAGTCACGTTCTCGAACATTCTCCCCAACCCCTTACAGAAGCCAATCCCACACGCGTTCCACACCAACGAGACCAATAGAGAAAAAGAGATAGAGAGAAAGTGGGATAGAGAAACTCTCCGTTCCAAATTCGATTCGGGCTGGGAAGTGCATTCACTCCCACGTATTCACCCCCTTTCTCTCTCAACCATCTGATCTAGTTAGGCCCACTAAGACACCCCCTTTTTTTCGACCTCTTCTTTGGTATGCCATGCTCGAATGTTCGCTTTTTTGTTCTTTATTTTTTTCTCAAAAAATAAATAAGAAGAAGAAGAAAAGATGAGTCGCTTAACGCAGTCGCTGATTTTGTCTCCATACTTTTCTTCTTTATCTCCTTCTTCTTATCCGCTCCAATCATTGGGTTTTTCAGAGTTCTTCTTCATCATACACTCCATAGTATGTTTTGTTTGTCTCGCAGATGGAATGTGATGGTAGGTAGTTTGTACATCCCCCTCATTCTGTTTTACAAGCAGAATCCCAAAAAATCCTTGGAGCTAGATTTCTTCAGGCTGAAACATACATTCATCAGTGAGTTTCTTTACATATGCAAAACAAACCTTATTCGAACGCATATGCATCTACTGAAAGTTTCTTTGTATTAGTAGTTACAGAAGAAGATTGTTAAAATAGGCCTCGCGGTGCTTGCATACATGAGTTTGTCTTTAAAAGTTTACGTTACTTGCCCTGCATAACAAGAATTCCAGATATTGTTAGATAAAACTGAAAAAAAACTTGCAATTTTTCAGTAATTATTATTAATTTTAGTTCGGTGTGAAATTTTTGTTATTCAAAAATTTGAAAATTTTTACATAAGGCAAATGAAAATTTAATAAGTTGTTAAAAATTTATTAAGGTGTTAAAAATTATATTATGTGTTAAATCGTACAATATTTATGAAACAAGCCTTATCGAACGCATATGCATCTACTAGAAGTTGCTTTGTATTACTAGTTACAGAAGAAGATTGTCAAAACAGGCTTCGTGGTGCTTGCATACAATATATTTAAAAGTTTACTCTACTTGTACTGCAAACAAAGATGCTAGATATTGTTAAATAAAAATAAACAAAGCTTGAAATTTTTCAATAATTATTACTGATTTTATTTTGGTATGAAATGTTTCCTTTTTCAAAATTTTTTACTTTTTTTACATAAGGTATTAAAAGTTTTAAAAAAATTGTCAAAAATTTATTAAGGTATTAAAAATTTATTAAGGTATTAAAAATTTATTAAGGTGTTAAAAATTTATTAAGATGTTAAAAATTTAATTAGGTGTTAAAAAATATCCACCGGGTGTTAAAATATTTTGTGAGACATTAAAAAATGTTAAATAATAGTTTTTGTCTCAGTTTTTCGCCGTCAAAAACACGTTAGATTATCAAAAACACGTATTCTTATATAATAAACTTTATTCGAACGTATATGTGTCTACTAGTAGATTCTTTGAATCAGTAGTTAAAGAAGAAGAATGCTAAAATATATATCTTTGACGTGAATTAAATTTAAACTTAATTGTAATTTCGAATTTGGTTATACTCTCACCTTTTGATAACTGTCCAATTATGACAGTATGCAATGAAACATTTTACTAAAAGTAACTCAACCAGTAGTTACTGAAGGTAACTAACCAGTTTCAACGACAGAGAACTTTTCTTAAAAGTTTCTGAAATCCTACAACTCCGCGTAATATGTGAATGACGGAAAGGACTCGTGAAAACGGAATAAAAAGGGAAAAAAACAAAAGGGGGAAGAGTTTCTTTAGATAACAAAACGCAGCTTTCAACTAGAGAAAGTTTCTAGATCCATTAAAGCATGCTTTATGCTTTATTCCATTAAAACATCTTGAAAAGAGGGTTATACTTTCCATGACTTTTCTTTCCGGATATCCCTTTGATTGTGAGGATTGCCCATTTATTTCTTCCCCTTCGATGACTACAAATAGCAAGAAGAGGGAATTTTCTGCCCTTCCGTAGTGAAGACTTTTAATTGCCTCCAGAAGAATCCCTAAATTTCACTTAGAGTAGGGAAAACTTTTGGGGTGTGCCAGCCTTTCCC